AACACTAAATAGGGGGAAGTAAGGCTGGAGTTTATCATAATCAATGCGCCTTCTGTTATTTTTATAACTTTTTCTATGTACTTTTATGTATATTTATTTTTGGTCCTGTTAGGGAAAAAAGGTAAGAGCTATACAAATCCATTCAAAGGAGGTCCCTCATTCACGCTAACCAGATGCCCTTCTCCCCCAGGCCCCCAAAAACTTCAAAGCCCACACATAGAGTCACACACACTAAGTGTGCCTCAACGATGCTAACAGATACACACTGACATAGAAATAAATACATATGGGGTGGAAATAAATCTGTTTACTCTTGATTGGAAGTCCAGAAACCTGAGTTATTTTCTAAACTTTGGTACTTAATTATAATGACCTTATACTAGTGACACCCTCTACCCCAAATTAGTGTTTTTTAATGAAGAAGATAGACACAATAGCTTTATTTTATTTGTTTATTTATTTTTATGTGGTGCTGAGGATTGAACTCAGTGTTTCATGTGTACTAGGCAAGTGCTCTGTTACTGAGTTACAACCCCAGCCCCAGGTATTAGTTTTAACATCCATTCTAAAGCTATTATGTTCAATGCAATAGTCATATCCACATGTGGCTATGCTACTGAGTACCTATTATAAAAGGCAGAAATTTTTATTTTATTATTTACCTGTAAGTTTCAATAACCACACATGGCTAGTGATACTACCATATGGTATAGCACAAAACATGTATGGAACATTGACTTAGATGATCTGTATCATCTATTCTAGGTGGTCTGTGCTATTGTGTTCTACAGGATTCATCAAACTCACCCACTCCAAGTCTCAGAGTGTTCCTGCCTAACTAGAAATGATAATCCAGAATTGCTTTATACACATGGGGTAGGCCCTGGGACAGGAAGAAAAAAATTGGTGAGGGTCAAATTTCTACAGCCAGACTAATTATTTTATTGTCCTCAGTTTTCTATAAGCTGGTACCAAAAGATGAATTATGGCTGTCCCAGTCTCTGTGAGTGAGTATATTTGTATGTGTATGTGTATAACTACCCTATGAGTATAGTAACACTCTTTATCCATCATCCTAAAGTACAATTAGTATTGACTTGAGGAACAATTTCAGTGCTGGAGAAAAAAGCTGACTCTTGATTTTGTGGTAAAATCAATACATCTTGAAATGGCCTCTTTCTCTCTGGACTAATTTCTCATCTGTAATATGAGACAGTTGGACTAGAAATATTTATTCAACAAACTAAACAAAGCAATAAGTTAACAGCTGAGGACACAATGAGAAATCAGACATGTCATGCCCTCAAGAATTAAATTTACTATAAAGTCTAAACAAGATGATCTTTCAAGACCCCTCTCAGCTTTGAGTCAAAGTAAACTATGGATCCTTTGGCTCATAGTTACTATGTAAATACTATATGGCTAAAAATTCCTTAAGTTTCTACCCAAGTCCTACTTTATTAAGGCAGATTCCCCATCCAGCTAACTATTATCCCCCTTCTTCCTCAAAATTTCCTGTTTGGTCTTCTCCACACCAATAAGTAATTAAGAACTGAAAGATTCTAGGAAAATGAAAAGACAATATGAGATGGCAGCAGAGAAGTATCTGTCTGTGCACTTCCTGAAATGATAGAAAATATGAGTATAGGTTTATGATGAAAATGGGGAGAGATAAAAATAAAGGGAGATAATAAATCTATGACCTATTATAGCAAATGTGGTATAATTGATGCAGCTGTACAAGGCAAAGACTCATTTTAAATGGGTAGAATATAGCCTTTAAAATAATTCAAGGACAAAGAACCAACCAGTTAAGGAAGGATAAAAGTAGAGGAGCACATTCAAATGACAGTGAGCACCCCCCCTCTCTGCCACATATATAGTGGTGCCATCTTGAATCTCAAGGATCTACCCGCTTTCTCTTTCCTTCAGTGCATCAACTATGAATTGCCCTTCCACCATAATTCAAAACAACTGTAACATTTCAATTGGAGGGGAAGTAATAATTACCCTCTGCCTCTTTTTTATAAACTTTCCTATAGATCTCTGGGGATCCAAACCCAGTTGAAGAAATATTAGTTAGAATGCCAGCTTAGTTAACAAAACTCCCATGACAGGTAAAGTTTAGTCTTGAATCCAAATGTTATCTCCACCTTTAATGTGGGTGGACGGTCTTTTTCCCCAACCTTCATCACTACTACAATAATCAAGGATTCTATGAAAGGACATATAGATTTCAGGGGACTTGGAGCCCAGGCTCTAGGCTGGCTATAAAGTAAGGTTGGTACCTAAAGAGGTAAAACTTGAGTAAATGATGTTTTCCCAAAGCAGGTAGTAGTCCAGAAGGCCGGACTTATATTTTACAAGTCCATGAAGCCATGTTTATAAAATGCTAAAACGAGAAGAAACTTTTTAGTTTGAGTCCATCCCATTTATTGATTCTTGGTTTTAATTCTTGCACTATAGGAATCTTATTAATGAATTTGGGGCCTAATCCCACATGATGAAGATTAGGGCCTACTTTTTCTTCTAATAGATGCAGAGTCTCTGGTTTAATTCCTAGGTCCTTGATTCACTTTGAGTTGAGTTTTGTGCATGGTGAGAGATAGGGGTTTAATTTCATTTTGTTGCATATGAATTTCCAGTTTTCCCAGCACCATTTGTTGTTGAAGAGGCTATCTTTTTGTCCAATGCATGTTTTGGAGCCTTTGTCTAATATAAGATAATTGTAGTTTTGTGGGTTAGTCTTTGTGTCCTCTATTCTGAACCATTGGTCTACCAATCTATTTTGGTGCCAATACCATGCTGTTTTTGTTACTATTGCTCTGTAGTATAGTTTAAGTTCTGGTACAGTGATGCCACCTGCTTTACTCTTCCTGCTAAGGATTGCTTTAGCTATTCTGGGTCTCTTATTTTTCCAGATGAATTTCATGATTGCTTTTTCTATTTCTATGAGGAATGCCATTGGGATTTTGATCAGAATTGCATTGTCTGTATAGTGCCTTTGGTGGAGATTCCTTGGAAAACTGGGAATGGAACCACCATGTGACCCAGCTATTCCTCTCCTCAGTCTATACCCAAAGGACTTAAAAACAGCATACTACAGGGACACAGCCACATCAATGTTTATAGCAGCACGATTCACAATAGCTAAACTGTGGAACCAACCTAGATGCCCTTCAGTAAATGAATGGATTAAAAAATGTGGCATATATACACAATGGAATATTACTCAGCAATAAAAGCAAATAAAACCATGGCATTTGCTGGTAAATGGATGGGAGTTAGAGAATATAAAGCTAAGTGAAATCAGGCAATCCAAAAAAAAAAAAAACAAATGCTGAATGTTTTCTCTGATATAATGTGTCTGATTCATAGTGGGGTAGGGAGGAGGAGCATGGGAGGAATAGACAAACTCTAGATAGGGCAGAGGGGTGGAAAGGGAAAGGAAGGGGCAGGGGGTTAGCAAAGATGGTGGAATGTGATGGACATCATTATCCAAAGTACATGTATGAAGACATGAATTGGTGTGAACATACTTTATATACAAATAGAGATATGAAAAATTGTGCTCTATATGTGTAATAAGAATTGTAATGTATTCTGCTGTCATGTAGTTAAAATTAAAAACGATTTAAAACTAACTAAATAAATAAATATAGCTTAAAATGCTAAAATGAACATATTTAAGCTCACCCCCATATAGAACCTTCTTCTTTTTTAATCTGATAATATTTTGTGATTTTTTTGGTCATACATGGCTGTAGTTTGGATTTCTTTTTTTTTTTAACTCTTTTTAAAAATTATTTTTTTTTCTAATTTGTTATACATGATGGCAGAATGCAATCCATTTCATATTACACATATAGAGCACAATTTTTCAAATGTACACAAAATATTTTCACACCATTCATGTCTTACATACATGTACTTAGGGTAATGATGTCTAACTCATTCCACCATCATTCCTACCCCCTCTCCCCCTCCCTCCCCTTTGCCCTATCTAATGTTCCTCTATTCCTCCCATGCCCCCCAATTGCCATTATGAGTCAGCACCCTCATATCAAAGAAAACATTCAACCTTTGGGTTTTTGCAATTGGCTTGCTTCACTTAGCATTATATTCTTCGACTTCAACCATTTACCTCAAATGTCATGATTTTATTCTCTTTTAATACGGAGTAGTGTTCCATTGTGTATATATACCAAAATTTCCCTATCCATTCATCTATCGAAGGGCATCTGGGAATTGTGCTGCTATAAACATTGATATGGCTGTGTCCCTGTAGTATGCTGTTGTTAAGTCCTTTGGGTATAAACTGAGGAGTGGGATAGCTGGGTCAAATGGTGGTTCCATTCCAAGTTTAGAACCTTCTTAATGTAACTCAACATAATTCATGTAACAAACTTAAATCATAATATTACCCATTCAGTTTGCAACATCAAGGTTCCACCCTGAACTCCAATCAAGATACTAGGTTGATACATCTCCACTCTCCAAAAGCCAGAATTAGCATCCCACAGCTCCAATATCTCAGAGCTCAACCAAAGACCAAGAGCACTTATCTGGTCCCTAAATTCCTAACACAGAACCACTGATAGCAAGCCCAGTAATTCCAACCATCTCAGTGGGATGGGAGAAACTACTTTTAATCCAATGGAGGCAATTTATTATTGTGAAGATTTTAGGAAACAGCTCAAACTAAGGTACTCAATTTTTCCAAAACATAAGACAGAAAGGGAATGGTTTTTCTGAATGTGGATAGAGCTCCAAGTGCCAAGTGTCATAAAGAAGGGAGTGGAGTGAGAGCAAGAGTGCACGCAACCGAGGAGATAAAATTTATCTTGCTTAAGATCAAGTTTCACGTAATGCCAGTTATATTAGCATATACTGATAGGATTATCTTACCCCGCCTACAAGTAGTCTAATCACCCTCCAGACATAAAAATGAGAGAGAATTGAACTAAGCAGAACACACTTACTTCTCCCTGCAGCTTCCCATCTCAGGGCAGCTGCATGATTTCCTGAGCATTTTATTGCTGGAGCTAGGGATAAAAGCTCATTTATATATACAAACAGCAATTCTCCAGTTTCTATTTTTCCTCCTCTGTTCATTCTCCTCCCCAATTTGCATCAGAGAAGCCAAACTCTGGCATACTTTAAACAGTTTGAGGATTAATCTGAAAGAGGAAGAAGACTCTGTATATATTGGCTAGCAGATGTGCCCTGCCCCGCCCTCTCCTCTCTTGAAAATAGCAGCGATCCATCTTTGCAAAGAAGCTTGCCTAGAGAGCAAGCACATATAAAAATCTCCAAGGTATCCTGATTTGCTCGGCAGCTCACCAATGAAGGTTAGCTCTCCAAGGGACTCGTAGATACATTTACTGAAGACCTGGAGCCTGTTTCTGAGAGCCAATGCAAAAGGATCCTAAACTGTGAACCTTGAAGACTGCAGGTAAGATTTGATATTTCAACACTAGTTCCAAAAGAGTATGTAGTAAAATTCAGCTGATGACAGATTTTAGCAAATTCCCTAGAGTTTTGGGATAACCAGTTTGCCCTGCCTGCTTTAGATTAAACTGCTAATATGAATTCTTTCTACTTAATTTCTTGGTCAGATATTTGATAATGTAATTAGTCTGTCAATGAGTATGGCTCACAGCTTCTGCTAGGGGTTCAATGTGATAAAATATGAAGCAGGCACTCCCTAAGCCTCTAGCACCTTTGTGATCAAGCCACATATGTAAAACTTATCTTTAAATCCTATTTAAAGGGCTCAGGGAAGTGTCTCTAATGTTGAGGCAGTTTCCTTCACTGTAGAAAGATAATACATAATGATTGCTGAAGGTAAACCAAACAGTGAAGAGTAACCTGGCATTTTCATAAGGTATTTTCACACTCGTTATCTCACTTGGACCTCTCAACATCCTATAATTAAAATAGGGTTCATGCTGCTCTTGCTCTATCAGTTTGAAAAATGAGGAAAGAAACTGAAGGAGGTTAAGAAATTTTCTTGAAACATACCACACAACTAGAAACAGGCAAGGGCTGACTAGAAATTTCAAAAAGAAAGTTTTCTCAACTGAAAACAAATATAAGAAAATTATATGACATATTTTGTAACTTAAAAGTATCTGAGATACACCAGGTTAATACAGAACCAAAAATTTATGCATTTTATAAAATTTGTGGAAAGGAGCATTTTTTTCCTTAGCAGCAAAGAAGTTATTTTCAAGGGTGAACAAATAAATGAACTTGTGGGATCTACTTCTTTGAATTTAGTGGGGTTCTGACATCCAGTTTTCTGAAATTGTTTTGAAATCTAGAGAGAGGCCACACACATACATTTAGCAACTGATTATTTAAAAGGAAAATGTAACTAAACATAGATTTCTTTGTATATTATTTTCAATATAATTATATCTTTTAGAATGTAGTATAGAATATAATGAATGGCATTGTATTTTAAACATATTAGTTAAATTTGTTTCCAGACAATTTTAAGCTTACCATATCTATTGCAACAAGTTTTTTAAAAATATTTTTTTAGTTATACATGGACCCAATATCTTTATTTTGTTTATTTATTTTTATGTGGTGCTGAAGATCAAACCCAGGGTCTCACACGTGTGAGGTGAGCGCTCTACCACTGAGCCACAACCCCAGCCCTGTTGCAACAAGTTTTAATCATTCAAAAATATTTTTTCTGTCATTGTTTTATTATTAATAACCCAATTAAAACTAAAAACTACCTATGTCTATACAGTAAATAACCACAAATGTTATATTTAATTCCATCTCTTTAACAAAAAAAAAAAAAGTGCTCCTCAGCTTCCCTAAATATAGACTAGGACAGCCAAACACTTCCTGCAAATAAAGTAAGTCAGCCTGGGAACCAGTGAGCCCATACAGAATGGTAGATTAAGGAAAGTTTGCAGATTGAGCCAAGGCTGAAACTCACATATCAATGTCTTCCCAATCCAGAATCATCAATTTTTACTTTTCACTACCTTCTTCCTCTTGTCTTTAATTAAAATTTCAAGGCATTTATGAACTATTTATCTGGGATAAAAGCAAGATTCTTCCATGGTTCAGAAAATTGTAAATTTGCAGTTGCAGTGTTATTAACCAATGAGGGATTCTAAAGGGAAAGCACAGATTCTTAAGGTACATAGTCAACCTTGTAGGTTTGATACCAAGAAGAGTAACTATCCAATCTAGCAATTAGCATAACTCTGTGTGAACTTCTATTTTGACCCATTTTGATATTTCTCAAGTTCTTATTGAACATAATTTTTCTCAAGTTTGATGTAGTCCAGTTAAACAAGTGTTGATCAAGCTCAATACGATTAGTGGCATAAAGTAAATTATAAGACATGGTTCCTGCCCTTGGGGAACTTAAAGTGTTGGTAGGACCTATAGAAGATAAATATAGAAAAGAGTAAACCAATGTCATTTTAATGGCAAAGGAGTTCAGAAAAGAAGATAGTTTGCATAGAGAAGGCTTCAGAGAGGAAACAAAAATAAGATAGTCCTAAAAGAATATCTAGGATTTGGAACCATGGTGTGAAAATCTTCTGTGTACATTGTATGTGGCCAAAATAGGTTGTTCGAATTCAATGCTGATCACAGAAATGATGTCAGAAATAAACTGTGCCAAGATGAGTTTAACAGAGAAAGACATGGTAGAAGGACCTGTAATCCCAGAAACATGGAAGGCTGAAACAGGAGGATCACAAATTTAAGGCCAGCCCAGAGAACTTAGTAAGACACTGTCTCACAGATCTACAAGAATATAATAAGGGCTAGGGAAGTAGCTCAGTGATGGAGCAACTTTTATTTGAATACCCAGGACCAGGATAGAGCATAGACCAAAGAACCTGATCTGGACTGAGTAAAGAGATTTGGGTTAGAGAATAACAGAAAATAAATTTGAATAGAAATTTATGGGTGAATTATTAGATACTGAATCTCCAGCACTTTCTAATGGGAAATTATCAGTAAACTTTGAATATGTAAAGACTTATTAGAAAAACATTGTGAGTAAATGAATACAACAGAATTTCATCAGTTTCACTATATTTGGTGAAAACTAGAAAATAAACTTAGAAGTTAATGAGGCTCTAGGTTATATTGGTGACAGTGGCAATGGAATGAGAGGGACTCAAGAGGCATTTAAAAGGAAAAATAAATGAAAGTTGATGAGTGAGTACATGCAATCATCATAGGAGAGGAATACATCAGATATTGCATTCAGATATGTCTGAAGTTTTAAGCCTGTGGAATCTGGGCAGTGGTATCACTGCTATTCACAGAAATGGGTAACTTGGGGATAGAAGCAGGAATGCAGGACATGATGAGTTCTAGGTTTGATCTATTGAGTTTGAGGCAATGAAAAGAATTCAAGGAGAAATGTCTGATGGGTGATGAGAAAAATAAAGGCCCTAAATATGAGAGATGGATAAAAGATGGAGGCAAAGTTAAATCTGGAGAATGTGGTAGCCAAGACTATAAAATAAATCAAAATTTGTTTAGAGAAAACATATCAAAGAGATGACCATGGACATAAATGGACAGTGTCTACCTCTTCAGAAAAGAGAAAGTGGACCTATAGAAATAAGAACTACAGAAATATAATTCTTATTTTCCTCCAAAAATGCCAAGAGTCTTGAGGGAAGGTACCAGGTTATTTATTTATTTTTTTTAAATTTCTCCCACCCAACAATAACTATCATGGTGCCTCATACACACCATAGTCCCCAAATAAATGTTGAGTTATTCTAACATAAGCAATATTGGGAATTTTTGCTTCAAGGTATCTCATAGCTTAACAGTGGTTATTCTAAACTATCTTGTTGCACAGGTCTCAGTGGGAAGGATTCTGGGCCTGGAGAACTGGGATTTCATCCTCACTTTGATATTTAATCAGCTGTGTGCTTTCTAACAAGTTACTTAACATCTCTATTTTTTTATTGGTTGTTCAAAACATTACAAAGCTCTTGACATATCACATTTCATACATTACATTCAAGTGGGTTATGAACTCCCATTTTTACCCCAAATACAGATTGCAGAATCACATCGGTTACACATCCACATTTTTACATAATGCCATGTTAGTAACTGTTGTATTCTGCTACCTTTCCTATCCTCTACTATCCCCCCTCCCCTTCCCTCCCATCTTCTCTCTCTACCCCATCTACTGTAATTCATTTCTCTCCTTGTTTTTTTTTTCCCATTCCCCTCACAACCTCTTATATGTAATTTTGTATAACAATGAGGGTCTCCTTCCATTTCCATGCAATTTCCCTTTTCTCTACCTTTCCCTCCCATCTCATGTCTCTGTTTAATGTTAATCTTTTCCTCCTGCTCTTCCTCCCTGCTCTGTTCTTAGTTGCTCTCATTATATCAAAGAAGACATTTGGCATTTGTTTTTTAGGGATTGGCTAGCTTCACTTAGCATAATCTGCTCTAGTGCCATCCATTTCCCTGCAAATGCCATGATTTTGTTATTTTTTAGTGCTGCATAATACTCCATTGTGTATAAATGCTACATTTTTTTTATCCATTCATCTATTGAAGGGCATCTGGGTTGGTTCCACAGTCTAGCTATTGTGAATTGTGCTGAACAAACATCTCTATTTTTTAATGTCCTCATGCATCAAATGGGTATTTTCCAAATCTATTAAAGTGATAAATATGAAAGCAACTGAAAATTCACACCATTCAATGGGTTTTTTTAAAATTCCACCCATTCCAGGACGATAAAAACACACAACATAACCAATTGCATGTCAACGGAGTAGGACCAGTTACTTTCTACACCTTATATGACACTTCTTGCTCAGGGGCTTCACTCTTTGTCTTAGCAGTCTCCTCCTACTCCTGGTCCTATTAATAGGATCCAGCCTTCTGGTTGCCATTAGCCCTGCAAAATTCTGCACATTTCAATGTGAAGAAAATATTCTAGTATTTAAGAAGTATTTCTGTAAACACATTATCTTTTTTTCATTAGCTATTACTTCCATGAAGCCCATTGATTCTTAAGATTAAAAGCGAAGGATAAAAATCATGTTGTACAACACGTTATGAATGCAATGTAATATTTGACTATTCTGTCTTTAAGCCATTTGTACAGCCAGAGATTTGGTTGTAATACAAATCATGTTCCAAGAATATATAAGTATATATACTGCATGTGTCTCTCCATAAAATTCAAAGACTTAAAACCACTTTTATACCTTACTTCAGTATTGTTTGCATTTCTGTCTAACATGGACATCTGTGTAATATGATTTCAAGGCCAGTGAGGAAAGCTTTCTCAGGCATGAGCAAATTCCTGAGAAATATTTGTACTAATCAACACCACAAAAGAAATGGATTCATAAGTCAGAATGCCAATTTGTTGTTTTGCAGTGAGGAAATACAACTGCCAAGAAGTCTGATAGATTAATA